CGGCCGCGACCAATTGTCAACAGGGAGGTGTGGCGGGGGGGGGAGAAGCAGCATGGCACGATCACAAACGCGGCAATCACAAGCTGCCGCTTCCTGACCTCACAGGCATTTTTTTTCCAGCCAGAGGTCCCGCCTGCGAATGACCACGGAAGTGAATCCATAGAACAGTGGGCAAGCGCAGCTCCATGTTTATGTGCATACCACGGAGGCTTAAACAAAACATCCGGTGTGAGACGGGACGCAGACGGGCACCGGATGCTACGGGATAACAGCGCTTCCGTGATCCAACGCCCGTCTGTGCCGCGCATTTTCCAGAAAATACTGCACTTTCCCTACTATCTTTTAACTCCACTTCTTTGGCCGGGCGCCACGGGTTGCCTACGGGTGCGGGATACTTGCCAGACGTTCATGTGTGATCACGCCCGTAAAATCCACATGGCAGTCATCCCTGTCACTAGGTTAATTCTCTGTGTGACCGGAGCCTCTGTTTGTCTCTTGCCTTGAAGACCCCATGGTCTTCAAGGCAGCTACAACATGACAGTACTTTCCACCACTACCAAGGTAAATATCACAATTTTGGATCGCATTATCTTACCTCCTCCTTACCATGCACTGGTGCAATCTCATTCCGATACAATAAACATGAAAATAACTTCTAGTGGGTATATCTACCACTCTTTCTTCAGTGACAACCTCTGTAAGAAGTTCTAAAATTCCAACACTGCTACAAAGCCCTCACTATTTAAGGCATAATTAAACAAGGGCATGTTACAATTTTCTAATGATTGCATAGTAGTTGGAGAGTAGCTAAATAGCAAAACTTCACAACTTGACTTTCCTTTCTAAATTTCATGCCATGCACTACTATACATTGTTTGAACTGAGTGGGGACTGTGTCATTCTATATACTTACTGTGTCGAGTTCTAAACAGCAGAGATGCTTTCCAAGAATGCCACCATGTATTTGAAAATAATTTAATGCATCAATACACAGTTCAGAGTACATTATAATGGTCTTTTTTTTACACTTAATGAGAATGAACACTTTACAAGACAAATAAAATCTGGAAATCACAAGTACTCATTCCCAACATTCTGTAGTGTTTAAGCAAGGAAAACACAGTGGAATTATGTATGCTGCAACCTGCTGTGTACCATTTCTTAAAAAAAAAATCTTCAGTGAAATGACTTAAGATCTCCATTTACTTCAATTATAGGTGAGCACAAAGCGCTGCAACAAGATCATGTTTTCGTGTTGTCCAAATCAGTCGATGTTTATGCATCTTTTCTCTTGATGATGAGAGGTCCCACATTGTCTCCTGTTTCATCATTGTGCTTTGTGTGAGACCCATCACATAATGGGAACTATGGGGGGGAAACAGATTAAACAATCGTAACTGCACACATTCTTTGGCAAGGCAAATAAATTCAAGACTGTGGAAAATATTGCTTAGCCCATCGGTCTACGAATGCAGAAGATTACTACCTAGAGCAGCAGAAAGCATGTAGTTGCTGCAACATGAGAGACCTGCCAAGCCTTTCAACAAATTACATTTGTCCGAGGACCAGTATCAAGATTTGGGCTGCAAAGTACTCCCTCTCCTACTGTTTACAGGTATCTCATCACCTTCCAAAGGTAACAGCACTAGCTCAACTGTAACCTCTGGAAACAGCAAGCAAACACGCAGCTGGGCGGACCATTATACATTTGCTTTGCAAGATTAATGGTGCTTCTGGGAACTAGCAGGAATTATATCACCCTGGTTCAGTTCAATCAAGGAGAACTGGAATCAATGCATTATATGCCACTTGCCTGGAGGTGAAGAGGCAGAGGGTGTGGTTTACCATGGTGTGGTAAACTAGGTATGCATTAGACTGCACAAGTAGCATTTCCTTTTTTAAGGCCGCAGCCTTAAATGAACAAATATTTATTTGAATATTTGCTTTTACCCTGCAATGCTAAAGAGGTTTTATACCTCTTAGTGGCAAGAAAATGCAATGCCCTAAAAAGGAGTGCTGCTTCTTAGAGAGTAACTAGAGTGAAATGCCACGCAGATTAAGTAATTAAGAGACAGGTGCACATTACTGTATCTTTTTGGGCCAGAGACTAGATTGCCAGAGGGTGGACAAGGTAAGAGCAGCATGTAATGGACATGACATTTATTCTTTCATTCACATGGCTGGATCCAAAGCTGTCCTTTCTTTGATCTGGAGGCACTTCCAGCTTTTATTTTTTTAACAGATTTTCCACTTTTAACTACAGCCCATACTATTCCCAAAGGTAAGGAGTGATGTGAGAAGTATCCATTCCATGAGCAAACTCCCTTTAAGTTTTCTGGATCCACCTCACATTCTCCAACGGAGAAAATAAGATCTTCTAGTATAGAAAACCACTTCCAGCACTCTTTCCAGAATCAAGGGCTTCCTTCAGCTCCTCCATCTTGCCCAGTTATTGCTTTCAGTCCTTCATTGCTTACAATATATATTTGGGTTCTGGAGCATTCACCAGACAAATCTATTGAGTGATACTGTTTTCTTCTCTTACCTTCTTAGACCTCCAGCAGCGGCAGTACACAGCTTTATCCCCCAGGTCTTCCATATCAAATGCATGAACTACCTTGGGATTATCTTTCTGGATATGCGGGTTGACCATTGCATTACAGCATCTCTCCTTGGAGAAGAATTTTTTGTAAGCAAGGTACCCAACAGCTGCTGCTCCAGCAGCAAATGAGACTGCTACAATCCATTCAACTGAAACAAGAAGATGGAGAAATGATCAAAAACTGTCCACTTGAGTACCCCCCGTAGGGAAACCATGGGGCTGAGAAGAATGACGCTCAAAATGGTTTCCATTTGCAGTAATTGTCTCCTTGCACAACGTCAAAGGATCTGCCCTCCTGTCTCTTCCTCCACACTTGAGCCAGAGATGCTCAAGCAATCTGGGTCGTCAGCTTTACAACCCAGTCCTATGAATGCTTCTTGCAGGAGCTTGTCTCTAAGCACCCATGAGAATATTTACCCACAACTAAGCCCCACTGAATTCAATTTAACACCCTCTGAAAGGAAGTTTAGGATTACAAATTTAGCCTTTGCCCTGACATCAGACACCGGTAAGAATACTGATGACTTTAGAAAGAGGATTACCACTTCAGTGGCAGGATCACCATATATTTTATATAGAGCAAGAGAAGAAATCCCTTTTTGGAATACTGGACATAGCGTTTTAAATTCTTTCAGTAATAATTCACAGAAGGAGGAATTTAGAAACCAACAGTTTCCATGCAGGCCTAGCCCCACCTGCAACAACTTCTAATGGGTTCTCAAACGCTGAACGGGTATATAAAAGAATTATGTAGAGCTCCAAAATTAGAGAGAAAATGCTATGGGGGATACACTACATGACATGTAAAAGCTCAGACCCATTACCGCTAATCTGGATGAACAAACAAGAAGGAAAGAGTCCAGTGGCACCTTTAAGACCAACAAAGTTTTATTCTGGGTATAAGTTCTCATGTGCATGCACACTTCTTCAGATCTTAAAGGTGTCAATGGAGTGGCTGTGGAAGTCCATGACACATGGAAACTTGCTGAGTGACCTGGGGCCACTCACACTCTCTCAGCCTCACTTACCACACAGGGTTTCATAACTCTTTAGGATTGTAATCCTATGTGTGTGCATACCTAGAACTCTTGGCTTTGTTTTGTAGGCAAAGTAAAAAGTACTAAAAATGTTCCTAACTTTTATTATAATCAAACATAGGTAGAACCCCACACCAAGGATCCAATTAAAAAAGCTCTGTGACAGATATGGGTTCCAGAAAGATAGGAAAGCATTAGTTCTATGACAGATAGATAGGAAAAAGATTTCCTGAAGGTAGGAATTCTGATCTCTAGTAACTTACATACACTAAACAAGAATTGGGTCATAACAATTGTATGAGGATCACCTTAAATAATCAAAGCAGCAAGGTATCTTTTGGATCCCGCAGAATTCTTCCTCCTTGTACTGTAGGGCATATATACCCAATACCTGACTGCAAATATACCCAATACCTGAGAGAAAACTGCAAGCTTATGCACCCTATGCTGTCTTAGCACATGTATGTTAATTTTTGCTATTTTGCTAGAGAGAGCAGAGTTCTCAATGAAACATCAGTTTTCCTCTAAGGCTTTGGTGTGGTTTCTGCCCCACCTCCTTCAGATCTTCTTTTCTCCCTCCTGCAAGGCAGGCCAATAAGCTACTTTTTACCCAGTCTGTGGGTATATGTGTCACAGTGGTTTAAGGGAGATGAAAAGGTCAACCACAAGTCATGTCAAAAGGACAACAGAACGTACACAACAGCTGAAAAGAAATGAGAGCCCTGCATGCTTCTTCATGAATTAGATATCATTCTACGTGCTGCAATGTATCTTGGATTTAAGAGCTCATGCCCACCTTGTCCTTAAAAGTATTTCATTAATTCTAAAAAATATTCCATAGTTTTCACTATTCCCCAAAATTTCCAGTTTTTCTGCTGGAAATTTTTCCTCAAGACTTTTTTCCATTGGATTTTTTTAAAGCCCTCAGAAACCCTTTACCACTTTTCCCCCAGGCCTTCACATCTCTAGCCCTACCTGTACGACCAACCAGCTATTGCGTTCAAATATCCATTCCTCAGCACAAACAGCTAGGAAGCTTCTATGGCAAGATGCCCTCTGCCTGCTGACCTGTAAACCGGAGTTCCCCAATATGGCAGGAGCAGACACTTCCCCAAATGACCACCATGTGCTTTTGGAAAGTAGGCAGGGCTAACTACAGAGAAGCATGAGGATGCAAAGTAACTCAAAAACTACCACCAATCAATCAATATAACATGATGAACAGTTCAAGAACTGACACAAGGGAAGGAGCAGGAGACACCAGCAGGCCCACAGCCACAGTGGGGCATCTCGGGGCCATGCCCCCTTAATTAACTGACACACCCCCATGAAACCATCTCTTCAAAGTTGGCTGGGAAGCCAAAAACAGGAGCAGTCTTTTTTTTTAAATGATTATTTGCAATGCAAAACCCAGCAACCACTGTGAGCAAACTACGGCTGCCTTCAGAACTCTGCCACTCTTTTTTCCAGCAAACTTTTTTGAACTTCCTCCTTGGCTCCTTCATGGCTCTTCTTCTCCAAGGCAATCCCTCCTCCTCCTCCTCCCGCCTCTTGCTGCTGGATGGAGCCAGTGCCTGCCTGCCTCCCTCGGCATGGAGAGGATGTGACTATTAATCAACTGCCCCCTTAAAAATGTAAATGCCCCCCCCCCCCAGGAAAAATCCTGGCTATGGTCCTGGACACGAGACACAGCATCTGCAGGAAACCATGCCTGGGAGTAGGCATCTTTCCAGTCATACACACCACACTGTCTACTTCTGTAACACAACGTTCCCTGGGCAATGAACAGAACTATTCCCAAGTGCTAATTTACACCTGAGGAGTAGGTATTGTCAGCAAAATAATCAGTGGCAGATTCATATTACCCAAGTTCATACCCACAGGCACATAATTATTGTCATACCTTAAAATCATAACCTGAGAAATGCACCACCCAACTTCATGCGTGTGTGTCAGAGCCTGATGTAGTGGTTCCGGAGAACTCGGAAGCCTGCACAGTTTGGGGGCATTTTGGATGGTCCTACCCAGGGGTCTTGTTGTAGAAAAAGAGCTGCCGGAGCTCATTAGCATAACTCATTAGCATAACTTATTTGCATATGCCACGCCCCCTGACATCACCAGAAGTGACAGAAGGCCACACCCCCTGACATCACCGGAAGTGTGTCAGAAGGCCCGGCTACTTACCCTCCTGCTTCATCCTCATTCCCAAACGGAATGAGGATCGAAGCAGAGGGCGGGGTAAAGAAGGGGGCGGGGCTTCACCACGTGACCGCCCCGCCCCCTAGAGGTTCTCTTCCGGAGCTCCGTACCTGAGAGCTCCCCCCCGACTAGAGCCCTGGTCCTACCAAAAAGGTATTGCAACGGGGAGGTTCTTGTGTTTTGCTTGGACCACTGTGGTCGGTCTGCCACCTCATTCCATACTGTCCACAAAAAGTGACCATCCCACCCACACGCACACATCTGTCAAGAAAAGGGCATGAGGAACAATGGGCAGGATGCTCAGGGAATAGCTCGACCGAGCATTGCTCAGGGCTCTTTCGTCACGGCTATGCTGTGTTCGCCGCCTGACACCAACAAAGGCAGGCGGAGGGGCGATGAGAGAGGCCGGCACGTGGGTCACGCGGGGCACTCCCAGGAGGCTCTCGCCGGAAGGCGCCTTTAAAGCGAACAGCGGCCACAATCAAGAGCGCGATGCCTCCACGCCCTGGGAAGGTGACGCCGGCTGCCCTCGGGGCACGGCTGCCGCTACCAAACAGCCGTCCCGCTACACCGCGAGGCGGGGCTTGCGAGAGAGAGCGAGAGAGAGAGCGAGAGAGAGAGAGAGCTTGGCGGGGGATCCTCGGGAGCTGCTGCTGCAGCAGCGGGCAGCAAGGTGATACAGGCCCGGGGGGGGGGGATATCTCCTCCTTAAGGTCATCGCAAAACCCGTGCTTGCCCACGCAGACTACTCTCCCAAACCAAGCTGAAGCCAAGCACCCAGTTCTTCCCTGGAATGCAGGCTTTCCAAAGCCGCTCCTCCGAGCCCAGCACGAGACACACGGAACTCTCGAAGGGGAGCAAAGAAAAGAACGGGAAACTCTCATTAACCTTCGTTTCCCCCTGAAATCTGGGTTAAGGAGACAGGAAACCAAATGTGGGCCTACGCAAAGGCAACAAGTAGCTTGCTGATTCCCACAGTGCTCAAAAAGAAAGGGCAGAAAGCTGAAGAGAAACCCCACATTACACCACCGGGCCTGCTCCCCCGCTTTTCTTCTTGCACAGCCTTACCCCTCACAGAAGAATTCGACCCGCCACCCATTATTATTCCTGCACTGATCACGCTGTACAGCTACTGCCTATTCCGACCATAGAGGACAAGCCGAAGGGGGGGGGGGGGGAGTGGCGTTATGTGAACTGCGCCTGCGTGTCAGGGCGCTCAATAGGGCGAAAGCAGCGGCGGCCGACTTCTTAAAGGGGCCCGTTCGAAGAGATGCATTTCCCATCGAGTCTGCAGTGATCGGTGCTTATCTCGAGATTTCCTTCCGAATGCATATTGCTCAGGACTGCAGCCCAAATGTATTGCATAATTTCTGGGGTTCAGTAGAGCATATTCCCACGTGAGAATGTTCTGTAAGGAATGAAAGGAAGTGGGTCGTCGAGTTTGGTGGTGTTATTAAAATCTGAGTTTTTGAGAGCGAGGATCAGCGGGTCTACTCAGAAGCAAGTCCCGCTTTATTTAATGGTGCTTACCTCTAGGGCAGCTCTCTAGGATTGTAGCCTTTATGAGCTGATTTCAGTCCTCCTCGCTGATATTTAAATTAGTGATAATTTAGGGTTGCCAACAGCTAGGGGGAAGCGAAATCCCGACCTTTAATAATGGAGGCTAAATGGGATGCTATTACCAGGTGACCTTATTTATCTCTAGGCCATGAAAAGATTCGGTTTCCCAATGCCACACATTAATCTTCTATTAAAGGAGTAGGGATTTTCAGAGTTCAGGGGTAAGCCTAGTAGGGTTGCCAACTTCCCGGATAAAAATGTCCTGTTTCTTTAATAGAAACTTAATTGAATGGTACTTGTCAGGTGATGTTATTTAGAGAACCAGTGTGGTGTAGTAGTTACAACTGTCAGATTTGGATCTGGAGGAAGTTGTTGTTGTTCAGTCGCACAGTCGAGACTTCACGACCCCATGGACCACGTCACGCCAGGCCCTCCTGTCTTCCGCCGTCCTCTGAAGTTGGCTCAATTTCATGTTCGTTGCATCGATGACACTGTCTAACCATCTCATCTCACCCCATCTTCTTTGACCTTCAATCTTTCCCAGCATCAGGGTCTTCTCCAGTGAGTGCTCCCTTCCCATTTGGTGGCCAAAGTATTTGAGCTTCAGTTTCATTATCTGGCCTTCCAGGGAACAGTCAGGGTTGATTTCTTTTAGGATTGACTGATTTGATCTTCTTGCAGTCCAAGGGACCCTCAAGAGTCTTCTCCAGCACCATAGTTCAGAAGAATCTATTCTTTGGCGCTCGGCCTTCCTTATAGTCCAACTCTCGCAGCCATACATGACTACTGGGAATACCATTGCTTTGACCATGCGGACTTTTGTTGGCAGGGTGATGTCTCTGCTTTTTATCATGCTGTTTAGGTTCGCCATCGCTTTCCTCCCAAGGAGCAGGCGTATTTTAATTTCATGGCTGCTGTCACAGTCTGTGGTGATCTGGGATCCCAGGAACGTGAAGTCTGTCACTACTTCCACGACTTCCCCTTCTATTTGCCAGGGAGTGATGGGGCCGGATGCCATGATCTTAGTTTTTTTTATGTTGAGCTTCAAGCCCACTTTTGCGCTCTCCTCTTTTACCCTGAGCAAGAGGCTCTTTAGGTCCTTTTTGCTGTTAGAGTGGTATCATCTGCATATCTGAGGTTGTTGATGTTTTCCCCAGCAATCTTAATTCTCGCTTGTCATTCATCCATTTTGCATTATGTACTCTGCATATATATTAAACACACAAGGTGAAAATATACATCCTTGTCGTACTCCTTTTCCTATACTAAACCAATCAGTTGTTCCATATCCAGTTCTAACTGTTGC